CCAACTTTCGGAGGTCCGCGCAGACCTCCGAAAGTGTGTGCTCTAGCCGTTTGAGGTTATTCGACAGGAGGGCGATGAGGAGAAGGAGGAGGAAGAGGACGACAGGAAGGAGGACAGGGAGGAAGGAGAAGGAGCAGAAGGAGGAGGAGAACCTCAGGGTCCGCGGTCTGCTGCCAGACCCGAATCTCGGCCAGGTCGGGCAGGGCAATGACGCCCGCATGCGCCACTTTCCACGCGCACTTTCATTACTATCGGCACAGGCTGCAGCCTACATATATTCAGGATGTCAGGTGCAAATGTGTCGAATCTGCTCCACCTACGTATTTGCAATGAGCGATGGCTCCCGTCTGGAATGGACTCGCAGAAACACCGCTCGGAAAAGCTCGAAGAAGGAAGGGGCACGCCTCATTCTCACCAAGACGTCTGGCTCGAAAAAGGATGCTCCCGTCCACTCAACACGACGTGCCTCATCAGGAGTCTGAACTCGCGGTAGGTGACTAGAGGTTTCGGCCACGGCGGTATGAGCTCCCGGTACTCGTCCTCCCCAACATCGAGACCGCAGCTTTGCAAGGCAAGGCTCACGGCGTCCGCGGACACCGTGGAGTCCAGGTCGGGCCGAAGCACGTCGAATTCCGCCCCGCGGTCGCCCAGCAGCATCTGGAATGCTTGGGCGGCCATGCTCTCGTGCCCGTCGGAGAACTCGCAGCGCGCGTCCGCGGAGCTCTTCGAGTTCTGGCGGTGCTCTCGCGGCGGCGACTCGTCTGGCGACGCCTGCCGACGCCACCTCCCTGGCTTCTGGGGCGCCTCGCCTACCGACGCCTGCTCTGCCAATGCTCTGCGGAGGTCCACGATTCGCACTTCGGGGAGGATGCTGGAGTAGAAATTGCCGCACTTGCCCGCGTCTATGCCCTTTCCCTCCTTGCCCTTGCCCCTCTCCTTGTCCTTGTCCTTGTCCTTGTCCTTGCCCTTCTCCTTGCCCTTGTCCTTTCCCTTGCCTTTCTCTTTCTGCTTCTCCTTGTCCTTCCCCTTGCCCGTGCCCTTGAGCTTTCCCTTGGCGACACCCTTCTCTACCGAGCTGTCGAAGACGGCGTTCAAGGCTGGCTGCCGCCGCGAGCTGAACAGAGGCAGGGCGCGGGGTACGCTGCCGCCGGCCTCGGCGACTGCCCGGCCCAGCTCCACCGCCGTCTCCATGCCGAGCGTCAGGCCGGCACCGCAGGGCGGGTACGCGCAGGCGGCGTCACCCACCAGGGCCATGCGGCCGGCGTAGAGCTGAGAGCATCGGATGCAGCGGCCTATGTTCCAGACGGGCCGATCGACAAAGTCCGCGCGCTCCTCTCTGGACGTCATGGCCAGAAGCAACGGGCTCGCATCCAGAAGATACTGCTCGACGTCCTCCAGGGACGAGACCGCCGGAGCCTCGGGCACCTCGAAGACCGCCAGACCGTTCCCCTCCATGCCGGGCATGATTGCACCGTGCGCGCAAGGCTCGTCGCAGAAGTTGTATCCATCACCCTCTTGAAGTAGCCCGTTCACGCGATCGAGGTGCAGAACCTTGGCGTAGATGCTCAACGGCACCTCCTCGACCGCAAAATCTGGGCACTGACTCTCGGCGGCGGCGCGCACGACGGAGTTGACACCGTCCGCCCCGACAACCAGGTCGAACCGCCTCGACACGCTTCCCGCCACGACCTCGCCCGTGAGCACATCGACCGCCGTGCACGGCGCCTCGAAGAAGAAGTCCACCTCGCCGGGCCACTCGGCGGACGCGCTCCGGATGTGCTCCACGAGGCCGGCGCAGTAGCTCTCCTGTGCGCCGTAGATCGACTCGGTCGCCAGGCTCATCCTGTCGTCCACGCGCCACCAGCGGCCGAAGAGCTCCGAGGAGGGGCCGCAGCACACGAAGCACGCCTGCTCGTTGCAGTACTTTCGCACGGCCGCCTTGGCGCCTATCTCGTCCAGCGCGCGCATCCCGTCCGCGGCCAGGCCCAGCGGCCAGGTCCGCTTCGGGTTGCTGACGCGGCCCGGCTTGGGCTCCCGGCGCTGCTCGAACACCGCCACCTTCGCGCCGTGGCGCGCGAGCGCCGCGGCCGCGACGAGGCCGCACGGCCCGGCACCCACCACCGCCACCTGGAGGTCGTACGTGTGCACCTCATGGCCTCGGGGAGTGCCCGCCAGGGCCTCCGCGCCCTCCGCGCGGCGCCTGGAGCAGCGCGCGCCCATCAGCGGCTTGCGCCTCGACGGCTTTGCTTGAGCCCGAAGCTTGCGCCACAATGGCTACGGAAGGAGCAGAAGGAGGAGGAGGAGGAGGAGGAGCAGAAGGAAGAGGAGGAGGAGGAGGAGAGGCGAGGAGGGCCACACGAGGGCGTACCCTGAGATCTGGGCGCTCAATTTGTTTCACCCCCCCCGGCGTCTTCGCCCAGCTGCGGGCCCCAGGGGCGCTCGCGGATCGACCCTGCTCGAGCGCTGCCGCGGAGCGATGGGGTCGGAGGCTCCAGTTGCGATCTCTCGCGATGCTGCAATGTGTCTCCTCGGGGTGGAGAAGCTCAGGCTCGGATTCTGGCATTGGGAAGTGCAGCCACCCAGGGGGAGGGAGGAACGGGAGGATGAGCGATCGGCAGGGGCCGGCGTGCCAGCAACTGGTACTGCCCCGCGGCAAACGTCACCCAAAACCAAGAGCAGCCGCCGCTGGGCAGGCGAGCTTGAGCCTCAAACGGCCAAGGCCCGCGGCGACACCCACAGCAAATCCGGCTCAACATGGGCAGGAACGGCTGGTGGTCGTCCCCACCACGTCTCGGCGCAGGGCGCGTTGACAGCGGCAGCTCACCATCGACCCCTGGACCCCTGACGGCAACAAGACGCACCAGCCTCCCGAGCTGCCTCCGGCCGTGGCGACGGCTCCACTCTCGCGTAGTCTCGTCTCTGTCGGAGTGGTGTACTGATCGAAGCTGTGCCCGAAAATCTGCCCGAGTGCTACCGACACCGGCGCCCGACATTTTCCGAGCACGCCCGGGTGGGACCGAACTTGTTGCTTCGAAACCAATGTAGTTTCAATCTCGGTCGCCATTTCCGTCACGCGACGTTTTGGTGGCAATTCTGGGCTTTTGGGTCTCACATATCTTTTCCAGTCACAAACCTGTTCGGCTGACAGGGGCCTGGCGCCATGACATCTCACCCTCCTCTAAGTTTCCGCACCCATGTCGGCCACAACGAACGAGGCGCGGGTGCAGGCGCCTCGCTGCCCAGCGCTGGCCACTGCCCCCGAAAGCTAGGTCGGGCATGTACTCCCACAGGCGGCCCTTGGAAGAAAATCGTCAAAAAAACTACAAGTAAACGAAAATTCGTCACCAAATGTTTACTATCCCTGGATATTTTTGGGTGACCCGAAGGGGTTCCAGCTGAAAGGGGGTGGTGCAATAGGTTTGGGGCAGGTGCAGTGCCGATGTATTGCTCCGGAGAATACAAGTGCATCGTACTGCAAGCAGTACATTGCACGCGAAAGTACATCAATACGTTTGCGCCCCGAAATGTATTGCACGCCCCAAATGTACTGCCACGCCACACATCTATTGCACCAAGTCAATTACATCACCCCCTTGTCGCTGGACCCCCTCTTGGGGTCAACCCGAGTACTCCTCCTGTAGAGGGACGTGCCCGACTGAACCCTACAAACCGCGCCGCGCGGCCAGCCGCCCCGGGCCGAGCCGAGGCGCCGAGGCGCCGACAGCGAGGGCGCCTTGGGGCCGCGGCTGCCGTTCGGGCAATGCCGAGCAGGGTCGCCGAGGGGGGGCGCGGCCTTCCCAGACCCCCGAAACAACAAAAAAAAAAAAAGCGTGACGGAACGCTTGGAAAGACTCGCCTCCTCCTCCTCCTCCTCCTCCTCCTCCTCCTCCTCCTCCTCCTCCTCCTCCTCCTCCTCCCCTCCTCCTCCTGCTCCTGCTCCTGCTCCTGCTCCTGCTCCTGCTCCTGCTCCTCCTCCTCCTCCCCTCTTCCTCCTGCTCCTGCTCCTGCTCCTGCTCCTCCGGCTCCTCCCGCTCCTCCTCCCCCTCAACCTCCTCCTCCTCCTCCTCCTCTTCCTCCTCCTCCTCCTCCGCCTCCGCCTCTCCGAGACATGCTCGCATCCTGTCAAAACTGCTTTGATCCGCGGGCGCAAGACGATCAGACGCTGGTCAAGCAGCGGCGGGACGCGCTGGAGCACAGCGAGGCAAAGGGGGGAGGGGACGCGCGGGGCGCGGGACGGACGGGGAGGCAGGGGAGACAAGAGAGCCACACTCAGGCCATGCAAGGCCCTGAAAAACAACGGCGGGAGGTCTTTGGCCGTTACCGGCATCGGCGAGCCCTCGCAGGACCGCGGACCGTCAAGAAACGGCCCGGGATGAGGAGCTGGCCCTGGGAAAAAAAAGGGTCAGGAGAGCGGAAGGACATGCACAGCAGAGCACACCGGCCAGTGGCGGCGAGGGCCTCTCAGGTCCAGGGTCGTCCCCGGACTTGCGCTGGCATCTTCGGGGGACCCGAGCGGTAACATCTGGGGGGGCCTCCCGAGATCCTGAGATGCCGGCATCGCAACTCTTCGCACCAGGCGTTTCCGCCCGGTTTCGGGCCCCAGGGCCCTCACAGATCGATCAGGCTCGAGAAAGGACACGTCGGATCCTAGGGGACGTCGGGCCTCCATCGACGCAGGGCCTCCAGGGCCTGAAGGGGGAACGATCGGGGGAACAGCTCAGGGGGGGAGACATTGAGCTGGAATCGACGATGCATCGCCAGTAGATCGTCAATGAGCCCTCGATAGCCGTGCCGCACGCCCCTGGGCAGAGTGGGCAATCAGGCCTATGTCGGCGATGAGTGGGCGATCGGGGGTCGATGCATCCCCCGGAGCTTTTCCCCCCTAACATTGCACCTGAGGACCTTGTCTGTCCCATCGAGCCGTCATCCGCGTCGAATCCGCGTCGAACCCGCGCCGAGTCCGCGTCGAGCCGTTGTCGAGTCCGCGTCGTGTACAAGAAAAGACCTAAATTTGCAGGACAGGCAAGGACCCCCAGTCCCCCATAGACGCGACATAACCAAACGTCCGAGCGTGGTGAAAAAATGGGAGCGGGAGGGTGCTCGGCAACTCTCGACCTCCGGGAGCCCTTAACGGGCCCCCAGGGCGGTCAAACAGCGGCTCGAGATGAAAAACGGGTCTCGGGGAAAGGCCTTGATCTCTGGGGAACCACGCTGAAAATCACAGCGCTGGATGTCTGGGCCTGGCCACAGTGACGAGCGCCGGAATCCCGCTCGCCCCGCTCGGGAGCCCGCCCATGCCCCTCACGGCACCGCCTAGGAGGCCTCACAGCTGTGCCAGTGGAGGGCGCAGATGCGGCACGAGGCCTGATTGATGATGCAGTTACGGATTTCGATAGGAGGGAAGGAGGGGCTCGACGAAGACTCGTCATGGCGAAGACAGCTCTCATCCGTCTAAAGATTATTCGGGTGGAACAGACTTGATCCCAGAGATAACTCGGCTACCCCAATACAGGATAGAAAACACTCCGCGCCACACCCAACAAGTCATCGAACATGACGCTTACCCGCGCGGAGTAGTTGGAGCAGCTTTTGCTCTGGACTAGTTCGCACGGTTGTGCCAGTCGCGAATGACGATGGATGTCACGCGGTGATGCATGTATGCTTTACGATGGCCGGTCACCGGGGGAGGGGGGGGGAGGCCAGGCCATGCCAAGGGGGTCACCACTGGGTGAGGGGGTCGCCACGTCTAGGAAACAGGCCTGGACCCCGCAGAGCACTCCAGGACCCTGGGAGACGTCCAAACGACTCCAACACCTCCTCGATCCTCGACGCTCCCTCCTCCTCCTCCTCGATCCTCGATCTTCAAGAGGACGTGGTGACCCCCCTGCCAGCGACCCCCCGGAGAGGAGGGGCACGAGGAGCGCGAGGCGACCTTCGGGACTGAAATCGCGCCCTCCCCTTTTGCGCTCCTTCTGCTGCGCCACGGCTCTGCGGTGCATGTTCGCCAGCACCTGCGCCGTGATGGAGTCCGCTCGCCCGCACCAGCGCAGCGGGGACACACCTCTGAGGGCACCCTCGCTCCACACACACACACACACACTTAGATTCGCGTGTGGGACATCCAAGGGCCACGCGCTGGACACGAATTCTGAAGCCCTGCCTACACAGCCAAAGAAGGACCGAGCACTGGAAACACATCTGGCCGCATGTGCAGCCAGCTCTTCGCCCAGGACGGCCGCGTCAGGTGCATCCAGCCTCCCGGTACCGCCCCGGCCCTCGGGCTGGGGCGAAGCAGTTCTGAAGGGGTTGCCCAGCACGTGATCCCTGGCGGACATGTTGGGTCCGTGCCATCTTCTGGGGGATGTTGCGGTCGGCGTTTGTTGGGCGAAGCGCGGGGGCCTCGGCCGGATCGCGAGACCTGGAGGGAACCACTGTTTGGGAGAGACCCCGGGTGCCGCCGTCAGGCAAATGCTATATTTCAAGATGGGGGCCAGGGTTCGCTTCACCTCTGTCGACGCGGTGTCTTCGAGCAGCTCCAGGATCTCCTCCGAGGTGTGAAAGATTCGTGGCTGCGCGCGTGATATCATTGTTTCTCTACTGCAAAATGTGGCAACGCCTTTTCTGCGCGATCTCTGCCCTTCCCGTCTCGTGCTCCTCTACGTGATCCGTCGATCGCTCATGCTCCTCGCTTGTACTGACCACCTCCAGGCAGCCGAAGGCACCAGGCCCAATCCCTCTCTTGCAAAAACTGCGGCTCATGACCTGGCGGCGTAAATCCCACGTTTCCGTCAGACTCCGTCCGTCCTTTGTCCAACCGACCAGCTCTTTGAGCCGCGCCCACGCGTGGCGACGGGGGGCCCTGATCCTTCCCTCCTGAAGGCCTGATGCTAAGTACTACAACGTTTATGCTACTATGAGCAACACGCATCACATGATTGCTACTCTTACTTAGCTTAGTATTCATTCCCTCGATGGTATGATCGTTCGTCTTCTTAGTATTACTCCAATTCGTCGTAGTATTCGTCGGCGAATGTTGTTCTGAATTTTGTAAACAATATCCTCGATGAGCCCTGATAGCAGTGCGATGGCAGCCAAAAAAAACATCAAATGACGGAGATGCCTCTTTTACGGGCCTGGGGGGCCTGGGGGGCCCGGGGCGAGGCCCCTGCCACCACCAGGAACACGATGCCCCGAGGTGGTGGGCGGGTTGTTCAAAACCGACCGAACACCTGTGCCCAAATGGCCACAAACGTCGGGCAACAGAGAAGCATGCACTTACGTGTTGTTGAACAAGGGGTGCCCTCGACGAGCCCCAATTGCATTACGGTGGCGGTAAAAAAGTACGGAGTCGATGGTGCCGCGTCCGACCATCACAACGAACGAGCCTGCCACTCGCAGTAGAGACCAATCCAGTCCACCCTGAGGCCGCCCCGCAACTTGGCCGTCTGCACTGGGAAGCCGAAGACGCCGAGGAGGATGACCATGAAGGGGGCAACAAGTCTCCCACTGCGCCCTAAGCCGATCACCCTCAGGCCGTCGGCGTAGGCGGGCTGTTCCACGGGCCAGCCGCTGCCCAGCAAGCAGAAGGTCACCCGCAGCATGGCGACAAACAGCCTGGCCCACCACGGCGATGCGCTGCGGATGCCGAAGGCGCCGACAGTGTTGCAATAGATCTCGCCCTATAACTCGAAAACGAACATGCCTCACTCGTCCTCGCGAATCTGGATAAGCCGGTGGGCACCCGTGACGTCGGTGACGAGCGAAAGTACGACGTCGTGCCTGCCTCTTTAGTAGCTGAAGAGGTAGGTATTCTCCGCGGGCCTCGGCATCCTTTCGCGGTTCGTGTATTCGATCCGATTATTCACGGCGACCTCCTATGCGACGTCGAGCACGAGTCACCCATTGCCGCTCGCGCACTCCAGGACCGCCAACGCTGCTATGGTGCAGTTTCCGCGGAAGGGGTTGCGCAGCTGCTCCTTGGACATCTTGACCATACTGATCGACGTCACCTCGACGGTCAGGCGTTCCTGAAGCTAGTCGCTGCGGTCCTCGCTGCTGTAATTGGCTGATTCTTGGGCTGCCCAGCTGGCTGCTTCCTGGTCGAGGCGCAACGTCGCGAGCTCTTCGAAGAGCGCCCCCTGACTGGGCATCTCGCGCAGGATGCCTGCTGCGACCCCTGTCTCCAGTTCCTTCATCGGGCCCGCTCCTGGGCCCCCTGCCTCGCGTAGGAGTGCGGCCAGCGAGCGGAGGCGCATCGACTGCCCAGCTGCGACGTAGCCCAGGTCGGCGCCGTGGCCTGCTCGCCCTTTGGGGGCCCCAACCAGCCCTCGAGGACCCCACCGGCTGCCTCGTGGACCTCCGTGGCTACGAAAGCGGATGGCTCGCCTGGGTCGCTCCCGGCCGGGCGCGCCTGCACCGCCAGCTCGCACGGCGCGCGTGCCGCGACTCCCCAGCCGCCGAGGGCCTGCACAATCCTCTCAGAAAGCTCGATCCCCAAGGCGGACCCGCCCGGGAACTTCCGAAGTGTCCGGGCCCCAGCGGCCAGGCGAAAAGAGGCCCGCGCCGTCGCGCTAGCCTCTCGGGCCCTCGGTGCACTCGCAGCTGCGCGGTGGCCTCGTGCCTCCGAATGGGTGGGGAGGCCCTGAGGGCGCGCGCTCCTTCTCTGCTCGCAAGCGCCGCGACGGTGGCGTCCGCGCAGCAGTCGGAGCGCGGGTCGCAAACCCGAGGACGCTGCCGTCGAGTTCCCAGAGCGTCTCGATCAGGCGTGGCCGCGTGTGGAGCCACTTCGCGAAGGCCTTGATGGCGCCCTTCCTGCCGTGGCGCTCGACGGAGAATGGGTTGCCCCCAATAGCGTTTTCCTAAAAGTTCCTGTTCTGAGGCTTCCAATAAAATCTCTGTTGTGGCGTTTTCCATTGAAAGGCTTTCCAACCGGAACCCCCAGTCGCGATTTTCAAAGGATTTGTTTTGTGAGGTGTTCCAGTCGAACCCCAAGTGATATTGTTGTCGGTGGTGTTGATGCTGCTATTGATGCTGTTGTTGTTGCTGTTGTTGTTGAATTCCCGTTTTCTCCCGTCGGTAACCCTGGGATGTATGATCCCGTGGGGCGACCAGCAAGGATGATAAGCAAAGCAGAGCAGAGAAACAACGCCCCCTGTTCGGGCCCGTGCCGCATGCATACGTACATACATACATGTATGCATACATAAGACACACAGACAGCCAGACAGACTGACTGACAGACAGACAGACAGACAGACAGACAGACAGGCAGGCAGACAGACAGACAGACAGACATGCTTACATATTTACATGTTTACATACAAGCATGCATATAAACATACATGCATGCGTGCATGCATGTATGCATGCAGACCTGCATATGCATATGCATACATACAAATATGCACACACGCATACATGCACACGTACACACATATAAATACATGCATGTCTACATACATGCATGCATGCATGCATGCATGCATGCTTGCATACCTACGTACATGCATAAATGCAGACATACATACATACATACATACATACATACATACATTCATGCATGCATGCATGCATGCATGCATGCATACATACATACATACATACATACATACATACATACATACATACATATACATACCTACCTACCTACCTACCTACCTACCGACCGATCTATCTACATATCTACCTACCTACATACAAACATATATACATACATACCTACATACATACATACATACATACATACATACATACATACATACATATATACATACATGCATACATACATACATGCATGCATGCATACATACATACATGCATGCATACATACATACATACATTCATACATACATACATACATACTTGCATACACACATGCATGCATCCATATATACATATGTATACACATGCATGCATGCATGCGTGCGTACATGCATACCTATGTATATGCACGCATACATGTATACATGCATGCACGCACACACATACATGTATACATGCAGACATGCATACAACTATGCATACAAACATACATACATGCATATATGTACGCATACATACAAGCATGCATGGACACATACATACACGAATACACATATCTCAATACATACACCTACACCTTTCACGTGTACAGATAGATGTCTCCCCCTCTTCACTGAAAGGGATATTGGCATGTTCCCTATCTTCTGCGGCATTACATGATCTTTTAGGTGCACCCTGCTGGTTATGTACTTGACTACAGCGGTGTGAGGCCTGGTTGTATCAGCGGTCGGTCGAACCGTGGTGGACGCCAAACAAAACCCCCCCGGCAACTTGTGGATGAGGTATCCTCTCGCCGCTTGTTCTGGCACTCCACGGCCTCGCACTGCCTCGTCCACGCCCTCCTGCGGCCGTGCCAGTGCTGCTCGGTCCGCAGCGCGGCCTCGACGGGCGGGAGAGCTCGGAGCACGGGTGCGGGGCTGCCGCCAGCATGCAGTCCACTGGGGGGGGAGCTTTTGTTGAGGAATGTGCACATGAGGCTCATGACCCTGGACGACTCCTTTACGCTGATGAGGGCGACAGTGATATGCATGGCCAAGCATCAGTCGAGGCTCTACCAGCCTCCAGACACTGGAATCCGTATCCAGTGGTTCCCTGTCCAGCGCCCCCACCGTAGAGTAGACACAGGCGGGAAGTGGTCTTGCTATGAGCAATCCCAGGGCACATACCCCGTCGATGATGAGCTTCGCAAGGTGCCCCGGGGCTCTGCGGCCCCATCGTGAAGCAAGAAATTCTCGCGGTGCACCCGTTGGAAAGCCAGCTTCTTACTTCGCGTGTCCACTGTGCGCGGCTGCATTCGCCTGCGGGGCATCAGGGGTCACGCGCTGGGGACATGCACGCCAAGGGCCGGCGGGCGCAGACGACACGGGGGCGGAGCACTGGAAGAACGCGCGGCCACCTGCGAGTCCAGCTCTCGCCCTGGCTGACCAGCTCCCCTGGGGCCCCAGATCAAGTCAGAAGCGGCGAGCCCCCCCTCCCCAAAAAACCCAACTGCGGCACCCCTGATTTGGCGGAAAGCGGCCACTTCTGCGGCCAGCGCCCAGATCGGCCCCCGTGCCGCAGGCATTGAGTGGAGCGTCCTCAGGATGTTCCACTGCATGTGGAGCCACTGGATATTCCATGCGAAATTCACACCCACTCACAAAAGCGTACGCACGCGCACATACGCGCGCAGGCGCGCATACGCACTTTTTCTCTGACGCGCCAGTGAGTCTAACCAGCGGACGCACGAGTGGTGGCCACCCTCAAAGCAAATTAGCTTTCTTGTGAAACGGCGTTATTGTTCTGAACACTTCCAGGGCCCGCACATGGACAACAACGGGGCAGAAGAGATAGAAGGTGCTGACGAATACCGCAAACGCCAACAGCCAGCACGACCCGGGAGGAGGAGGAGGAGGAGGAGGAGGAGGGCGAGGAAGGGGAGGCCACCGCTGAGCGGCGCTGGGCGGGCAAGCAGGCAGTCACTGAGGCCAGAACGCGGGAAGTGGTCGTGGGCGCAGGGAGCGCCACTGGCAGGAAAGGGGCGAGCAGGAGAGAGTAAGAAGTGACAGGGCCGACCCGGGTCAGGGCGGCAGAGAAAGGAACAAGGAATGCGAAAGACGGAGGAAAGGGCAGAAAGGTGGCTGGGTGGCCTGGCAATCCCCGATTCCAGCCGCAGACAACGCTGGGCCTGCATTACGATACGCACACACCCGGGATGCAGGGCGCTTCTGGTGGGCCGCTCCGCCGCCGCGAGGATTCCCACGTGGGACGGGACCAGCGTCGGCGGGGTGCTCATCCGCGTAGGCTGACTGAATGAGAAAGTCCATGAAGTGCTCTATTTCAACAAGCCAGTAAAGTGAAGGCAAGGGCAGGATAGTGGCTGGGATACGCTGTCCAAACCTGAGGCGGGGAAGCGCCCGCAGCCTACAGCCCGACGCAGTCGCTCATTCTGATGCGGTGGTGCTGAGCGGCTTTGGAGGCCGCGCCACCCGTGGGAGAAGGGGAACGGAAATGTGCGGGCCGGGAGGACGCAACAGACAAGGCAGGTGATAGGGGGTCGCATCGCAGGTGGGCGCGCAGGTGGTGCAGCCTGAGGAGGCAAACGAGCCGGGCGCGCGGACCTGGGCGTGCACTCGGGAGGCGGCGACCATGACGTGCCGGCCGGCCGCGCGAGGGTGGAGCACGAGGCCCGCAAGTCAGCGGACGGGGCCCTGGAGGCATCGGCGGCGTCGCTGGGTGGGGGCCGCAGAAGTGTCGGGTGCAAGGTGGTCGCGTGCGCCAGGTGACGTGCCTGAGCGGGAAGGGCGCCGACGGGGCCACGCGGTCGACCGCGCACCCGCCCCGGTCTGTGGACGGCTTCATCAGGGGTGGAGTCGGGGCATCTGGCGCGCAGGGAAGCAAAGCGATGCGCTGCGCCTAGGCTTCCAACAGGAGTGGGGGACCGAGCCGAGGCGGGCTTGCCCAACGCCGCGGGCCTGCCACGGGCAGCTGACGAAGATGCAGGGGGGAGAGCGCCAGTGGGCCCAGAGGAAGGGGAACGTGCCGCGACAGGGGTCATGCGAACAACAAGGGGCCGGGAGCCCCCCACATGGGGGGTCTGGAGAGGTGCCTGTTCCTCATGAGGGCCGCTGCTGTGGCGCGCTTCCTATCGCGCTTCATAGAGCGCCACCCTGCAAAACAGTCCCTCTCATAGCCTGCGATGAAGGCCTCGAGGTAGGCGGTCTCGATGAGATCGGGGTCGGTCAGCTGATGGGCGTGAACCCATCAGCAACGTGGCTAAGAAAATCCATCCACCTGTAAGGGAGCCCCATCCTGGCGCGCATGTCGGCGACACATATGATAAGTTGAAGAGGGGGTCTGGCAGTTTCAGCAACCGAGCCCCTAGGGAGCCCAGAAGCCGGGACATGGGCTGCAGGATACAAATTGTACCCGTAGGCACGCTCGCCGAAGGAGCGGAGGCGTTTGAAAGGTGCATGCTGGGGTCGGCGGACGTGGAGTTGGACCTGTGGAGAACCGCCCTCCAGAGCTGGGCCTGGCGAAGCCCGAGGTGGGGAAAAACCACCGCGTATGGCCAGGACCAGGCGCTGGCGAGAGAGCTCCTTGATAGGAATGTGCGCGACGTGTCCGAAGGAGCTGGCCTGAGGGCCTGGGGGGGAAGGGGGGGGCGGCCGCGGAGGCAGCTGCGTCAGCTTCGGAAGCGCTGGCCTCGGACGCATGGGGATTTTGGCGGGCAGGGGATCGGGACCAAGGGCGATCTCGTGGAGGCTCGGCGGGGCCGCCGCTGGGCGACAGGGGGTCTGGGTCTCTGGTGGCCCTTGACCTGGAGCGCTGCGGACCCCGACGGCTGGAGCCAGCACCTGTGCGAGGGCTGAAGGACGGGGAGGGGGAGGGCAAGTTGCCCCCAAGCGCGAGGAAACGCTCAGTGAAAGAGACAAACATCCATGCGGGCGCAAGAGGGGCACTGGCGGCCGTGGGAAGAGGGTCGTGTGAGGGGCGAACCCGTGGAGGTCGCGCATGAGGAGACGCCACATGAGAAGGTATGCCTTTGGAGTACCGCTGGAATGCCGACCCGACGGGCTGCGAGCCCTGACCATGGCGTGCACCTGCTTGCGAGGGGGGCGTCTTCGGACATGGCGCGGGGCGCAGGTGGAGACGGCGAGGGATCATGGGGAGGCAACTGGGAGGAGCCCCGGGCAGAGCATGGGGTTCACGCACCCAGGATGCGGGAAGGTGCTGGTCGTTGAGCGAGGGGCATCCCGGGTCGATCCGGGCCTCAACGAAGAAGTGCAAGAGAACATGTTCAAAGCAGCGTCGCTTGGAAGGGGCCCAAGGTCAGGGCAGGCGGCAACGGCGCCCGGAAGCGTGGCGAGGAGCGCGTCCGCGTCGAGCGCGGGGAGGCCACCTTTGAGGTCGAGGAGCGCACGGATGCGAGACTCGCGCGGGCGCCACTGGGCAGAGGGAGGTGCGGCAGGAAGGGAGCCAGGAGCCCCAAGGTCAGCGGTGACCGAGGCGCGAGAGAGGCAGGGGGCGCCAGAGCCTGTGCCAGCACTGGCAGCTTCATCGACGGGGCCATGCCCGCCCTGGGGCGAGGATGCCGCGGCGGGATGTCCGTAGTCACGGTCCCTGGACCTGGAGCCCATGCTTCTGGCAGGGGAGGCGGGGCACGCCGCCTCGCTTGCGAGGCAAAGGAACATGGAAGACGAGGCGTCGCGGCCGCGCCTGGCTAGGGGAGACGAGGACGAGGACGAGAAAGAGAAGTCGGGAGCAGCACGGGGACGAGGGGCGGGGCCAGGAAGGGGGTCCGACCGGAGGCGAGGGTCAGTGGGCATGGTGGCGACGACGCCGACGTCCTCGAGGGCAAGACAGACCTGACAGATGCCAGGATCGCCGAGAGGAGCGTTAGGCAGCAAGGGGGTAAGGTGGCGGCGGAAGACGCGCAGGACCCTCTCGTCGGAGTCGGGCGCGTCGCAGGCCTCGAGGATCGGGGCCCCTCGACTTGTGGGGTCGTCGAGGGAGCACTCGCCGGGGAAGTACATGACGAAGCGGACAATGGCATTCAGGCAGCCCTCCCGGTCCGAAGGTCGGCCAGCTCCTGAATGGAGACTGTGGTGAAGGCGAGCGCAGCGTCGCGGTAGGGTCTTCCCTGCGCATAGCAAGGTGCCGCGAGGCCGAGGAGCGCCTCAGTGTAGTCGCCCGCGTTGCTGAAATGCCTCACTGGGAGCGCGAAGTCGCCAGGTTCCCGCACCGCGGCCATAGCCAGGAGGTACCGCGCGTGCCCGGCAACAGGGTTGGGCGGGGGGGCACCGCGGTGATGCCCGGTGGGGAGGGAGGGGAACAGGGAGACCAGCGGCGAGATCGGCGGGGGGGTCACTGCTGTGAAGGGGGAAAGGACATGAGGCAGTAGCGAGGAATAGGGGGATATGACGCTCTGCAGACAAAGGGGCCTTCCTGGTGAGCTGGTCCTTCCGACTCAAGCGGGTAAGAAGGGTAGGACGGCTGACGACCTCGCCGGAGAAGCACACGCAAACACGCACACGCGCACGCACGCACATACGCACGCACAAGCGTACACACGCGCACGACGTGCACATGTTACTCCTCCGGCGATGTGAAGCACGATCGCACCGAATCTGGCGGAAAAGGATACAGTGATTGAATCCGCACAGATGGTGAATGCGCTCGGGCCCAGCTGTGCGGTCCCTGGCGAAGAGCTAGCTGAGCGAGCGGCAGGAGGCAGAGACGCAGCAAGACATGCAGAGCGGACGGTGTGCCTAGACACGTGGGCGCGGCACCAGAGGGTGACGTTGCACCAGGTGTGCGGCCAAGGAAAGCAGGGAAGGCGGGCGACGATCGCATTCCACCCTTTCGCGTTGTGGGGGGGGGAGAGAAAAAGCAGGAGCGGGAGCAGAAACAGCTGCAGCAAGAGGACTGACGGGGAAGGAGAGGGACGGAGACGTGAGAAGCTGAGAGCAGGAGAAGCAGGAGCTGAAGGAGGAGGAGGGCGGAGGACAGAAGGACCGGGGAGGGATGGCGAGGGGAAGAGAGAGGAGGAAGAGAGTCAATTTCGGCGGAGGAGGGAGAGGAAGAGGGCCAGCACTGTGGGAATCAGGCGAGCCCCGGCTGCGAGGAGCAGCAGCAGCAGCAGCAGGTGGAGGACAGAGGATGACGACGAAGGGGAACAAGACATGGATAGAGGATGCAGCACGGACGAGGGCGCAATTTGCTCCTCCCCGATCTTCCATCCAGCTCCTGCACCCGCCAAGCTCCATCCTCCTTCCTCCACCTTTCATCCTCCTCCGTTCTCCACGGACCACGCTCCGTCCTCCATCCTCCAGCTTCCATCCTCCCTCAATCCATCCTGCATCCTCCGCCCCCCTCCATCTCGCTCCCTCATCCCCCATCCCTCCTCCTCCTCCTCCTCCTCCTCCTCCTCCTCCTCCTCCTCCTCCTCCTCCTCCTCCTCCTCCTCCTCCTCCTCCTCCTCCTCCTCCTCCTCCTCCTCCTCCTCCCCCCCCGACGACGGCGACCACCACGACCACGACGCCGACGACGACGCCGACGACGACGACAACGACAACGACGACGACGACGACGACAACGACCAGGACAACGACGATGACGACGACGACCACGACGACGAGGACAACGACGGGGACAGCGGCGGGGACGATGACGACGACGACGACGACGACGACGACGCGGACGAGAAGGAGGAGGAGGAGGAGGAGGAGGAGGAGGAGGACGGCGACAACGACGACGAGGACGACGAGGAGGAGCCAAGCAGACAGGCCTTCTGCAGGGGCTTCCTCGCGGCGGCATACCAATACTCCGGGTCGCTGGGGTCGGTCAACAGGTTTGGGTTGTGGCGCGGGTCGACGCCTCGGCGGCGCACGTCCAATGCTCCTCCTCCTCCGAGGAGGAGGAGGAGGGGGAGACTCGCCCGAAGAGGAGGTGGCAGAGGCGGGCCAGCAAGCAGAAGCTAGGGGCGAAATCGACGTCCCTTCGATCATCAGGTCATCACACAAATACACATCAGCAGTTCAGCAGGCACCGCAAACGAAGGCATGCTGCTACACAGCGGCGTGCACCGAGTCCGTGACAAGGCATGCTCCTACACAATGCTATACGCAGATTAAAGAGGAGAAGGAGAAGGAGGAGGAGAAGAAGCAGGAGGAGGAGGAGGAGGAGGAGAAGTATCTGTGAGCTATTGGCTCGATCCCAGCGTCTACAACAGCTAGCGGTTACGCCGCACCAGCGCGAACGAAGACATGCATACAACATGAGTCGGCAAGCAGCTAAGTCTACGGCGACCAGGGGATGTGCTGGGTAGATGTATCAACACACGTGAAGAGTTGGACCTGGATGGAGGACTACAGGACATTCCCAGACGATGCCAACTGCTGGCATCCAGCTACAAGTACCGAGGGGTAGAGACTATGAAGACAATACCACCGTCCGGATCAGAGACTTGAAGCACGCCCTCCACCACCACCAGAAGTTCACCCAGAACAGGAGCATTCTAAACTTCAAGGATTCGAACGATAGAGGCATCGCTACCATCGATAATCGCTCGGGCGCCGAACATGAGAAATCGAATCCAGAACCTCTCCGTGGTGCGTATTGGATTACTGTGACGGGCGAGGTGATGTGTGGACGACGTGATGTACAAGTCGCGGCAATTGCAAGAGTCTGTACAAGAGCAAGTACCTCTGACCTGAACTCCGAATAAGGACGACTACTGGATTGAGCCACCTATCTGCGAGCGAACGACCATCGGCGCGCTCAAACAGGGCATCTTCAAGAAGATATAAGCCCTCTCGCCACACTATATGGCCATGACCCTGGAGGAGCTTGATAGGATCAGCGTGAGATACTTCGAGCAAGACCCATGCGGCGACCAGCTCCGGAACGATACGAAACTGAGATACCTCACCTTTCATTATCGTAGCAGGCAGAGAGGTGGCACGAGATACCTGACCACGCTACTCAAACCAGCCATTACGATCTTCACTGGACAGGACTACCACGAGAGAGACACTTTACCTTGCCCTTGCTCGGGCAGCGTGCAATGCTACGCGGTGATGACGTGTCCCATGGCGAGGTGCCTAGCCAGAAGCACATGCAGGGATACAATACTAACCAAATCGGTATTAGAAGAGAGACCTACGCAAGCAATAGTTTGCCACCTATGTCGTTGACAGCATTCGCAGCAAGCTACGACGAGAACATCGCTACGAACCCGGGAGTGCACCTTTGAGTCTGCGAGCATGCAGTAGAACTGCCCCGACCGTTTCCCACAACATCTGGCGGCAGCTGCAGCAGTGACACCCCAGCCCCGCCCTCCCCAGTCCCTCCACCTCCACTTCCGACGTCGGTGGAACTACCCTGCACGGCGCGTATGTGGTGCGGGCTTTTGTAGTGGAGGATCGTGGCGCGCACCAGCGGCTCCGAGATGGAGGAGAGGCGATAGGAAGCGACGAGGACGAGGAGGAAAGGAGGAGGAGGAGGAGGAGGAGGAGCGTGAAGAGCAGGAAAGGAGCAGCAGCAAGCTGATCATTCCACGTCTTCCTGCCTCTTCCTTCCCTCATCATCCTCCTCCATCCTCCTTCTCCACGTCTTCCTCCACTTTCTCCTAGTCCTCCCGGGCTCAGCAGGTTGGCGGACTCCGTTGGATATTATCTCTGCCCCCATCGCCTTGTTCATACCACCATGGTCACGCCATCATTGTCGCTTTGCCCATCTGCATCATTGTCACCAATACCATAATATGCGATGTGATTGAGACTGTCTGAAGGCTCTGGCTCTTCTGCCTGCCCTTGCGAACCTTATATGAAACGCTCAGCCTCCACGTGCAGGATGCCTGCACACGGGCAGTTCTCGCCACCGCAGCCTGAGCATGAAGGCACCACGCAGACACGGCGGGTCGTCGTTGAGGCGCCACATCTTGTGCGCACGGCCTTCGCAGAGCTGCAGGTCGTGCCAGGGCGCGCATTGCATCCCCAAGCCAGCGCAGCCCACCTCATCACTTAGGGAGGGTCCGCGCGAGGTCAATGGGCTCCCTTGGTGATCCCAGGAAAAAGGACTAGAAGCTAGTGCAGCAGACGCATCAAATTCGCTGATCGTGCCGGCTTGTGTGTGAAACGTTTTTTCCCGTTTGAGACTTCCCCATCGCCGCCGCCGCTCCCCCCCGAGCGATCCAGACAGATGAAAATCAAACAACGTCGTAATTGACTCGAGAGGACGCCGCTCCCCTTTGATCCCTTCCCTTCCTGCGGAGGGGGGGTCGCCAGGAGGGTCCCTGGGGGGGTCCCGGGGGGAGCCCTGGGCGGGGGGTCCCCAAAGCGGGGTGTTCCCCGAGTGGACGGGGAGAACTCAGAACCCCTTCCCCCGCCTCCCCCCTTGGGACAAGCAGCCACCACCACCACCCCCTTCTTCCGGACCCCCCACCCGAGGCACCCTCCTCTCTCTTATCTTCTGTTGCGGAGTGCTGCGTGTTTTCCCGCGTGCCTCCAGGAGGCCTCAGATCCGCTCCGAGGCGGCTCCAAATGGCCACGGAGCTTCCCAAAGAAGTCTCCCAAGAGGCCCCCGACAGAGTCCAAGAGGCTCCCAAGAGAGCCCCAAGAAGGGCTCCAGAGCGTCAACGTCGTCGTCGTCGCCGCCGCCGCCATCGTCGTCGTCCCCCCTCAGGGTTGGCGGCACCGGCCGTAAGGCCGTCCCAATGATAAATCGGCCTACTGACAGGTTCCCCACGGAAATTCCTTATCACCCAATGGCCCCACGAATCCACAGCAGCTCCGGGGCGACTTGGGACCCTCCAAGATCGACGAAGAGTGTAAACTAAGATTTCTTATCGCAAGCTTTCTTACTGTATGTGCTACTGTAGCGGTCGTAAAGACGTGGGTGTCGCGAGACACGCGAGGGCACATTGGAGCCCCAACACCTTGGGAGGGACATCCCATCCAACCCGCACCTCTTGCACCGAGCACCTCATTCATCATCAAGACAGCTACCAAATGGATGAACACGCCCAACATGGTGAGTACCTGGCGCAACTCGTCACATTAGCTTCAGCCCTATTACATCCACCCAATATGCTCTGGAAGAGCGCCCACATCAATCTAAGGAGAGAACCCAAGTTGGCATCGAGCTACGTGAGACGCGCACGCTTGGCAACGCAGTCGTGCACGGCGGCGCATGTACTCTCCGATGACAATTAAAGAAAGCCACGTGAGTCCGCTATCATACGCTTCGACTGGGGCAGATGCTCGGCGCACATGCGTCCGCAACCAAAGACCCAAGCCCAGAGGAGCCCGTAGTCAGTGAAGGCTCACAAACGCTTCGAGGACCTTGTATAATCGTGGGGCTTGCGTGCTCATGAGCAAGCGCAGTGTAGTGACAATGGTGACGAGCTCATGGTCCGCGCTGGACGTCATGTGCAGCGACATCGAGGCCGCTGCGGCACAGTGGGGGGCCGTGGGGAAGGATCTCCGTCATCGTCGTTCCACTCACAGTCGTCACGCCGCTTGCGTCCGTGTCTGCGGCAACAACAGGTGTCGGCCGCCCCTCTCCCCAGCAGGACTCTGGCGCGGAGCCAGCCATTGCGGCCAAGAAACCACGGCGGTCCCACACCCCAGCCTCGGTTCTCTGCACGCGCTGGTGGAAACGCCTACCAGCACCCGCTGGCCCCGAGTGCCCCACGGACCGCGACCAGTGCAGCGCATACTCCAGCAGGTGGGAGGCCCAGGGGCCATGGGCGGAAGAGCAGGTCCGCCGCCTCGAACGGCTGCACCTGCGCAGGCGCCACGGTCATGGCTGCCCGTCGTCGACAAGCAGACAAAAAACGGCCCCTCCGTGTAATTGCCATCGGCCCCCCAGGAGGCCGAAAACGGCCCGGGACCCTCCGTCGCGACTCTGTCCACGACGCGAGCATGCCAGGGGCTGCCAGGTCCGAGGCTCGACTCGGGCGACGCCCGCACAGGCGAAGCGGCGCCCGCGCCAGCCGGTGTCGGGACGGCCGCGCCGCGCCCGGCGCCTCCACCGCCCAGGCTGCGAGCTGCTCGCCCGGCCCCGCGGGCGGCACGCGGGCAGCCCGGCACACCTGCGTGGGTCGTGCCGGCCCCGGGAAGCGTTCGCAAGCCCTGAGATCGGGGCGTCGCAGTTTCTCCACTGGGCAAGAACTAGAGAAGGTGAACAAAAGCGTGTTTTGGGTTTTTTTAAATAGGATTAACATAAACGAAAACGAGAATAATTCGCGAAATTATCCAGAAATGCACATATCTTTTTTATTTTTGTTGTATTTTATGTTTTATTGTATTTTTTAGCCCCGGGGCCAGCACACATCGGTCAGGCTCGGAGCATGCAGCGGGGCGGTGGGGTCCAGGGCTCCGGTCGTGAATTCTCGCGATGGCGCATCTCGTTCCGCGACATCGGATCTCAGGGGAGGCTGCGGGCATGGAAGGGGAGAGAACGGGGGCCGTGACCAAGCCTGAATGCGTAAACGCCGTGCCGAGCTTGGTCAGCGTCCATCTTGGCCAGCGTGAATTAGTGGATCCTCCTCGCGAATCGAAGGCGGCCGACATGGACCATCACCATGATCGGCATCTTCGAGCTCCTGCGGCACCTTGGCCATGGCCCCCGTGTTTCTGGCCTCGAGGCCAAGGCCGAGCGCCTGCGCGCCGCAGAGGCCGCCACGAGCAGCCCGCAGCTGCAACCCCCGCCTCGAGCCTTTATCAAGCGCAACAGTCATGCGCCGCCTCGCCCTGACGTTCGATTGGCCTGGCGGCGACGCTGACGCGCGGTTTCGCCGTGTGCTCCGCAGGAGCAGCTGCGGGCGCTCGCGGCGGTCCGCAACACGCAGCCGCTAAAAGTTTAGAAGTGGT